TTTTAACCCTATAAAATTGTGGTGTACAGAATGCAACAATTTGTTTTGCTGAGGATTATGTCTATATAGAAAGAGAGCAGCTACTTTATAGGGTTTTCTACTGAATGATAAAAAAAAAATAACAATAAGTACAATTATTGTACTAATTCAGCAACCAATAGAGCAAACACTTGTTGCATCCCATAATACCAACTTGAAATCCTCCAAAAAATACAAAATAGTTACGTTTTGGTAAAATAAAGATGGTGGTTTGGGAAATGTAACACGTATATTATTGAGCAAGGCAATAAGTCAGAATTCCAGGGTCCCATTGTGAACAGTGCACCCATACTTGCATACTGATCATCTGCAGCTCAGGCATATTCAAAGAACAGTCTGTCCATGGTTTCATTTTATTTGCAATCAGCATACAGCAGAGCAACATCCAAAAACCCTCTTTTTCTTAGGGATTCTTGGAAGTGAACAGACTGTATATAGTCTTTATAAGTTGCAATCATGTATCAAATAATTTTAAGTGACTCCTATGCTATTCCATCTACCATACCTATAAAGAGAAATGGATTATTCAATGGATTATCCAATATACTGTGTGCTATATGTCCTTGCACCTTAATTTGACATATACAAATAATAATAGTAGTAGCCAAGGACTTTTTTGAGAAGCATATAGATATAAGGAAAACACTGTGTGTAATAAAACCATAAATTTGATTATAAAATTCAGTAAAAAACAAAAAAAAAAAAAGAGACAACAAAATACTGAACAAGAAATTATTTAAATCCAATACAGTCCACATAAAGACTCAAAATGTTTCGATAGATCTTCTTCAGGAGTACATGTGCATGGTCAGCATGAAGAAACCCATACTTCCCACTGTATTAAAACCATAGATTCACTGGAATCCTACAGGGGTGTGTCGTCTTTCTCCCATGGGGAAAGGGCACAAGGTTCTTGTAAGGTGAGGTATTTACAGATAGTGTTGAAGAGACCTCAATAGTCATCTATAATCTAGTTTAATCTAGTTAATCTAATTTGATGTTAAAAGCATAACACCATCTATACTTCAAAAAGTGACTGATCGCTGGAACCTTGGTTGTAAAGCAAAAGGACATTTTGGAAACGTTTCCTTCCTACATCTGATCTCTGCTGATTTCTGGCTGGCCATTCTTCAGATATATAGAATGGTTTGACAAAAGGATGTTTGAAGTATAGATGGTGTTATGCATGAGGTCTTCCCTTCCTAATTGGCTAGAATTAGGTTGGACAGGGACAGACCAGTGTTGTTTGACAAAAAAAGATGGAACTTTGTCCTTAAGACCATAAGCTTGAAAAATGATCTGTCTGAGCTACCAGGAAACTGTGAAGCAAGAAGCTGGTTCCTCCTTATGGGAACCATCAGAAATGCCAATAAAGAGCCAGTCTCTCTAAAGAAAGCAGTCACTGAAAGGTAAACTCATACAGCACAAACTGAATCCAACCAGTGAAAGGAAATCTCCTTCTGATGTACTGAGGTCAGACAGAGAGATGTGAGATCAATGTCATGGTTGTGGTGAAAAGTCAAAACTACCCTAGAAATGAAGAAAGCTCTAGGCCACAACACACTTTTATCCTTGTGTAAGCCCAAGAAGATTTCTTTACAGGCTAAAGCCACTGGCTTAGAGTTGATGGTAACAAGAAACATCACCAAGTGAGAATGGAAAGGGAATATCCCTAGAACCAAATTTAGATACAATTGATTGTCAGGAGGTTGTACAGGAGAAGCCACATAAGAGACATCCTATCCAAAATCTTGACCTTTTAAGCCAGCGACCATGAAGCAGGGTGATAAACTGGGCATTGAGATAGGAGATCTGGTTGATTTGGAATACCAATAGGGTGTTTGCCAGTAAATTGTCCAATTTCTTGTTGAACCTGGAGGTCAGAAGGTCCCCCACCTCTGACACAGATGTGAAAAAACCCTTTTTGGTAAAGGGATTTTTTCCATCATCCAGGTCCTGCTGGCTGAGGTAGTCTGCCCACCCATTGTCCAAGCCTAGTATGTGAACAATGGACAGGGCTGGAACATGGAGTTCAGTCCAGACTATAATCCTTTCTACTTCTTTTTATCGGAGCCAGACTTTTGGTTCCTCCTTTATGGTTGATGTATGTCATTGCTTTGGTGGTGTCTGATTGGATACTTATTGGATGACACTGTAGGCAGAATGACCAGTGTTGTAGGGACAACCAGATCACATAGATTTCAAAAATGTTGATTGGAATACAATACTCCTTTGGTGACCATGTTCCCTGCACTGACAAGTTTTCTAGGACTGCTCCCAAGCCCTTCAGGATGGCATGCATCATGATGATCTTTCATCACATTGGGAGAAAAGATTCTCCCAACTCCAGAACTGGAGTCCTAAGCCACCAGGCCAGAGACAACCTGGTTTTAGGTATCAGGTAAACTGATTTGTCAAAGGACTGACTTTGCCAAACAATAACAGACTGTTAATTTGTAGGGAATCAAGCCCATACATCTCCAGTAGGGATGAGTTGAGTGCAGTCTGAACTTGGTCCAAAAATAGCTCAACAGAATCAGCTGAGCCTGGGCATTCTCTACCCCACCTTTGCATTTACACAAAGGGACTGCTTGTGACATCATTGACCTGCTGGTTCTGCTTAATAAAGTTTAGACTGAGTTTGGACGAAAACCCAGCTCATCCCTGTGCCTAAGCAGAATGCCAGAGTTGGACAGTTCCAGGACTGCCACTTCTGAGCCCAGTTGCGAAGTATCAGAAGCTTTTCTTGGGAAAGAAAATTTTGGCCTGAGCCGTGTCTAGAATAAGACCCAAATACTTCAAAGAATGTTTCAGTTCCAGCACTGATTTATGAAAGTTTAGAATCCAGCCACACCTTTTTATGGTCTAGACTGTCTGCATCATCTAATAATATGCAGTAACCATTTGGGTAATCAAGTAGTCCAGGATACAGCAGTTGTCTGAATACAACAGTTGGCACAGGAGGTTCCTCTATCTACACTGTTAGCATACCAGGGGAAACAAAGTGATTTTCTAAATCTAAACATATATAGCTAGCTGTCGAGCGAGATCAAAACTCCTAATCAGCGTTCCTGTTTTGAATTCTTGACTTACAAAGTACTGAAGCCATTAGATCATCATGATAGCTAAGGGACTACTATTTTCGAAAAGCGTGATCAGCAATGGCAGCCTCTGTCAGTACTCGTTTCCTTTAACAATCATTAAAATAAGTTATCAGCTAAAAGGTATTATTGTATTGTTTACCATGGGTCAGATGACTTACAGACTTGCACTAGTAAAAGAAGTAGTAAAGCACAACCACTGTGTAGCACTGCCAATGAACCTGCATATGTAATGAGAAAATATAGGTCTACCCATGCACATATATAATTACAAGCTGTACAAAAACACATGTGAACAAAATGATTTACCTCAAACTGATCTCTTTTACATTTTGTAATTATATGGAAGAAACTTTACATTGCAAGAGGGCTGATTCACACTTCAAACACCCATTGCAGTACAAATATGTTAATGCGCTTTACTTTACATGTGTTGCACTAAGGTAGTCCAATAATTTTGAATGGGTGGCAATGCATCACAACAGATAAAAAAACCACATATGGCTCTTTGTTATAATGCAGTGCACCACAATACACAGTATGTGTATTATGATGCCCTGCTATACCTTGTGCTTTGAACCTTCTATAACACTTACATACTAGACTAGTGTTACTCAACTCCACGCTTTAAGGTTCAATAATCAGAACATGTTTTCTGCCCCATATGGAAGAAAAATATGTATATATTTGAAATATATTTTGAAAATATTCTTCCCAAATATATTGCCATATATTTGAAATGCTACAATTATAGCCATATTCAATATATTTAAAAAATATATTTAAATATATATATATATATATATATATATATATATATATATATATATATACTGCATGTTGAAATGCGTTTTTATTACAAAATATATGAAAAATATTTTTAAAAATACATTTCATCTCCTTTTTAAATACCGTATTTCCCTTGCCTCCTTTGTATAGATGGAAATGGGAACTTGACTGTGGAATTACATTTTCCGATGAGGACTAGGATTCTTTGGTGGAGAATATACGGTGGAGCTCTGGATCCCTTTCAGTCTGGGAGACGGCCCTGAAGGTATTATCTTGGTGGTATTATATCCCCACCAGACTTCATATCATGTCGCACCTCTGTGTCAGGGGGTGTGGCCTTGCCGCTACCATGGTGCATGTGTTCTGGGCTTGTCCTGGTCTTTCCTTGATCTGCCATAGGATTTCGGAGGTGGTATCTGGATTTATTCCTGCAAGTTTGTTTGTTGGGGGTGTCTCTTTCAGGGATCCCAGCTGACCAAATGAGGCTGATTCATACTATCTGCACTACTACTCTATGGGCGATTTCCCTTTATTGGAAGTCTCCAGTAGTTCCTTTGGCTTCTGTTTTGCAGAGAGTCGATATGGTTATGGTTATGGAACGTATTCAATATACGTTGCTAGATAGGTTGCACTTATTTAACAGTAAATGGGATGGTTGGAAGATGCATCAACACTTACTACTCAATTGATGTCATTAATAGGTATTTCTGTATTGAACTTTAGGTGATTTTGTGCTTGATTTGCTGATATTGTTGACTACTTTCTTCATGTACTTGTCTTCTTTTTTTTATACTTGTATTTTGTATTTATGTTTAACATTCATATATATTTTTCATAATGTCTATTCTACCTCACTTAATGGTGACGTTGTTGTAGTCTACCTCTTAATAAAAACGTTTGTAAACAAAAAAATACATTTCAAATATACTGTCTTTAAAAATACAAATCTACACTTTTGGAATGCATTTACAAATACCGTATTTTTCGCTCCATAAGACGCACCTGACCATAAGACGCACCTAGGTTTTAGAGGCAGAAAACAGGAAAAAAAAAAATTCTGAACTAATGGACTGCAGACATAGTAGAGGAGATGACCAGAGACTGCGGACAGTACAGGGATGACCAGAGACTGCCGACAGTACAGGGATGACCAGAGACTGCGGACAGTAAAGGAATGACCAGAGACTGCGGACAGTAAAGGGATGACCAGAGACTGCGGACAGTACAGGAGATGACCTGCGGACACAGTACAGACTGCGGACACAGTACAGGAGATGACCGGACACAGTACAGAGATGACCAGAGACTGCGGACAGCACAGGAGATGACCAGAGACTGCAGACACAGTACAGGGATGACCAGAGACTGCGGACATAGTACAGGAGATGACCAGAGACTGCGGACAGTACAGGAGATGACTGCTGACCTTTGGGGAGGGTGGGGGAGCGGGTACCTGAATTTGACAGGTACCCGCTCTTACTTCCGCAGAGTTTTTTTTTTTATCTTACCTGTTCCTCTATCCAGCTGCGCGCTGTCTTCCCGGCTTCTGTAGTGTGGGCGCTCGGCGGACAGACGGATGCCCAGTGCGCATGCGCGAGAAGCGCTGCGCTTTGTGATTGGTCCGGCGGCTTCTGGGATCTGTCATGTGTCCCAGGTACCGCCTTACCATTCACAAAAAGCACTGCTTCTTGCGCATGCGCACTTGGGACCCGGCTGTCACGCACACTACAGAAGCCGGGAAGACAGCGCGCCGCTGGATAGAGGGACAGGTAAGGTCCCACTGCAGAGCTGAGCGGCCGGCCCGGTATTCTGACACGGCGGCGGTGGAAATACCGGACCGGCCGCTCTATATTCGCTCCATAAGATGCACTGACATTTTCCCCCCTTTTTTGGGGGAAAAAAAGTGCGTCTTATGGAGCGAAAAATACGGTATATGTAAAAATATATGTTAAAATGACTTTTTTACATGTTAAAAAAAATCTGAAGAATATATTTTAAAAATATATATTTTTAAAAATACATATTTTTTAAATATATTCTTCAGAATTTTTTTAACATATAAAAAAGTAATTTTAACATATATTTTTGCAAATATTTGTAAAAAAACAGTATATTTGAAATGTATTTTTAAAAATATTTTTCATATATTTTGTAATTAAAATGCATTTCAACATGCAGTATATATGAGTGTGTATATATATATATATATATATATATATATATATATATATTTATTTATTGAAATATATTGAATATGGCCAAAAGTGTAGCATTTCAAATATATGGCAATATATATGGGAAGAATATTTTAAAACTATATTTCAAATATATTTTTCTTCCATATGGGGCACATATGCATTATATAGTAACCTGTGTGAATGAATAACTGCTTGCTAGAGGGCCTTAAGGACCACAGCTGAACACTACTGTAGACGCTCTCTCTTTTCCACAATTTAGTCAAAATTTAAAATGAAGTGTTTCAGTGCATAAGTAGATCTCAACCTACTGGTTCATTTCATTTAGATATAACTGTAGAGTACATGGCAACATTGTGTAGGTATCTGGTAATAGAAAAACTGATCCATTAAAGTGTACGAAGTTCATTACAGCCATCTGATTAAAATCTGTCTTGGAAACTTGAATTAATTGGTGATAAAGCAAGCATAAGGCATAAGCCGCTGCGGGACCCACGCTTCATCCCCCAGCTGCAAACAAGTGTATACAAAATGTGGGACCCGTGGGCGGGTGTCATTAATCTTAATGGCATGCTTTCCACACTGGAAATCGCACCCGCACTGGGAACCGCACTGTAATTCCCAGTGCCGGCTATGATTTCTGGGAAGGTACAGGGACCTTCTCCCTAAATTTTGGAAGGCACTGCAGCCCATTCAAATAAATGGGCTGCCGTGCAGTGGCCCGCAAAACCACACTAGTGTACACCTAGGCTAAATGAGTAATACACAGAATAGATCTCAGGAAGCAAATTCACATTACCTACATGTAGAGAGTTCTCTGAAACCTGGCTGATGCAGACTTAGCACTCACAAGGTAATCTGAATCTGATGAGATTTTTACTTTAACTGGGCTCCCAATTGCGTGCTCTGTGATCCACGCAGGAGCCTTTGATGCGGGCTGATGTACAGGTGCGTTAGCCTGCATCGGCAAAGCTTCCCATCCGCCGTCTATAGGCAATGGGTGGATGGGAAGCTTTGCCGATGCGGGCTAAAATACCTGTACGTCAGCCTGCATCGATGGCTCCTGCGCGGCTCATAGATTCGAATGTCACCTGGACACAGCGGATCACATTACCGCTGTGCCCGGAGACCACATGGTGTTTTACCATGTGACTAATGTGACCAATCACAGAATTCACATGGTAAACATTGAAAGTGAAAGTAAAGATCTGTTCTCTCTGCTCTCAGTGTGAGAGCAGAGCAAACCGATGCAGCAGTTTGTGAGTGTGCAGCAGTCTGTAAGGCTGCATGTACAATCACCAACTGGCATGCTAGCCACACCAGTGTTCCTGAACACTGTCCCAGTGGCCCTGATCACTGCCCATTGTAGTATATAATAAACAATACGCATCTTGATCGCCGCCATACCCCATACCAGCATCCTGATCATCGCCATATGCTGTACCAGTATCCTGATCACCACCATGCCCCATACCAGCATCCTGATCATCCCATATGCCATACCAGCATCTTGATCATTGCCATACCCCATACCAGCGTCTTGATCACCGCCATACTCCATGCCAGTTTCCTGATCACCACTGTACTCCATACTCCATATCAGTTTTCTGGTCACCACCATACCCCATTCCAGCGTTCTGATCACGACCCTACCCCATACCAGCGTCCTGATTACCACCATACTCTATACTAGTGTCCTTATCACCCCATACTAGCATCCTGATAAACTGCCATACCAGCGTCCTAATCACCACCATACCCCATACCAGCATTCTGATCACTGCCATATTTCATACCAGCGTCCAGCATTTTAGGGTCTCAACTGATCAATTGTCAAATATATATCCCATAGTTTGTAGACTCTATAACTTCATTTATATAGCAAAAAATAACAAACCCAGTGGTGATCAAATACCACCAAAAGAAAGCTCTATCTGTCGCAAAAAAAATTATAAAAAATGTAATTTGGGTACAGTGTTGCTCAACTGCTCAATTGTCACTCCAAGTGTGATAGTGCTGAAAGCTGAAAATTGGCCTGGACTAGAAGGGGATGAAATTGTCCGGACTTGAAGTGGTTAATGTAGGAGTGTTTCCTGGGTAACATAAGTGTCTCTTTTCATTTTTTTTCATTTGTTGCTTGGAATTGCTCTTTAACCTCTTGAATTGGTTCTAAAGGCTGAAGGATTTTGTACCTTCATGAATTCTATGCCCCCTCATTGGCTGAGACACAACAGCCACATTGGCTTGTGTACCCATGGATGAATTTCACTGTTTACTATTTGATCTGACTTTAAGAAGATCTAAATCCTCCCATACTTTACAGCCCAAGAAGCTGCCATCTTAGCCTCTGTTTGTTCTGCAGTTGCCGTAGCGCGCTGCACATGTGGTCAGGTATGACCACAGCCATTTGATGGCTTAACAGTTCAGTTCACAGCACAAGCAACTGTGACAGTTACCATTCATGGCATGAATTGGGAAACAGTTAAATTATTGGATTTAGTTCCACTATAAATCCTTTGCATGTTAATGTTATTATTTTATTATTATACAGGATTTATGTAGCGCCGACAGTTTGCTCAGCGCTTTACAGTATGGTGGGAGACAGTACACGGGACAGTACAGTAACAATACGATTCAATACACGAGTGGTTCGAGAGCCCTGCTTCTTGGAGCTTACAATCTAGGAGGGAGGGGATAGTGGTACAGGAGGAAATAGCTGTGGGGGGTGGAGTGGTAGGAAGAGTGGAGGAGTTCAGTAATTAGCTGAGAGCGGGGTAGGCTTCCCTGAAGAGATAGGTTTTCAGAGTGTCCCTAAAGGTGAGCAGAGTAGGTCATAGTCTGATGGATTGGGGTAGGGAGTTCCAGAGGATGGGGGAAGCAATGGAGAAGTCCTGGAGATGAGCATGGGAGGAGGAGACAAGGGAGCTAGAGAGCAGGAGGTCTTGCGAGGAGTGGAGAGGACGGTTTGGGTGATATTTGGAGACAAGATCGCTGATGTAGTTTGGGGCAGTATTATGAACGGCTTTATACGTTAGTGTAAGCGGTTTGAATTTTATCCGTTGGGCAATCGGGAGCCAGTGGAGGGATTGCCAGAGAGGGGTGGCAGATACGGAGCGGTTAGTAAGGTGGATGAGTCTGGCCGCAGCATTCAAGAGAGACTGAAGCGGGGATAGCCTGCGGTGAGGTAAGCTGATGAGGATGGAGTTACAGTAGTCGAGGTGTGATATAATGAGGGAGTGAATGAGTTGCTTAGTGGTTTCCGGGGTTAGGAACTGTCGTATTTTGGAGATTTTGCGGAGGTGAAGTCTACATGAGTTTACAATGTTTGTCCGTGCAGCCACTGATCGAGAAAATATTTCCACCATGTCACTTCAACAAAAGTCGATCAAATTAATAATTTTGGTTAAGCAAGGGATGCCAAAAACCCATCGAAATTTTGCCATTCCCTGCCAAATTGCCTGAATTTTGATCAGTGTATGGCCAACTTCATTCACAGGACAGGTAGCATCTAATCCCAGATTGGTGACATTTACACAAAGAATGGAAATCCCTCGCAAAACACCACCACCACTTTACCCAAACACAGAAATGGGTGTCTCATTATTTGAGGACATAGGTTTCTGGAGAGAAGACAAGTCTTGAAAGTATTTTGTTTACTGTCACAGCTAGAAGCGCTCATTTACAAGGGTAAGGCATGTGTCATCACAGCATGGGGTAACGGAGGTAAAATGGTTAAAACAACTGCATCTGAAACATCTGACACATTACATTTGCTTTCCTGCAGACAGCAGATCAGAAACACTTGTATCTGTAAATCTGACAGGCCCAGTTTGTGCTCAGATCAAGCCTTGTAGCACAAAGGTGATGTGTGATGGTGAATTTAATAAGAATTAATGGGAAACAAGCACTGACGGACGGGATGGTATCAAAATTAGCAGCTCAAGTCAGACTTCCAAACAAGTCCAATTTGACTAAGCCCTGAAGCATCAACTGGGAGTCAGAGTATCTTTTCAGTTTGATGGAGAAACCCAGAACAAGAGAATTCGAATCAGATCAAACACAGCTTGGGCACCAATGCAAAAAGACAGAACTAGCTGATTGGGAGATAAGGGGGTAGTCATGAAAAAAAGAGAGTCATAAGGAACTTGTACACATGAAGATTGAAAAAAGATACAATTAAATCTGTAGAAATCCAGACAAACTGCTAAAAACACAG